TCTCAGAAAGCGGAAATGCACCGATGGACGGATCGGTTTAACCGAACGGAAAAATGAACGTTGCAGCTGGCCGCCGTAAACCACCGAAGGCCGCCTCCACTACCTCCATCAAAGGCTTTAACCCTTTAGAGCGGAGGTCAAGAAAATGTTGGTTTATTAGGCTTTTTTTTTTATATTCCCTCCTGCATTTTTTCCACTAATTGAAATGTCTTTAAATCCACATTAACATGAATTAAACAGACTGTAGTAAACAGATAAACGGAGGCAGAAGATGTCTTTCAGTCATCAATGCTCACATTCAGAGACACACAGGAGCTCTTTAAGCTGGGCACCGTTTCATTCACAACACCTGACCTGGAAAACGTTGAACACCCCTGTTCTAGGTTGTGTCCCTCTCTTCTTGTCCCTTTTCTTCTTGTTTTCCTCTCTATGTTTTGTACTCAGCTGACTTTTCATGCTGTCTCTAAAGGAATGAAAGATTTTTTCCAAGCACTAAGCTCACTTAGCTGATTGCTCCTTCCTGTGTTTCCAAAAAGGCCAAAGTAAATAACCCAGTCCTTCTTTTCACTGTAGACAAGCCATGGTCTGCTTATCTGTTCTCCATTTTTCATTTGGATGAAATAATAGCTGCATGAATCATGACAGCAGACAAGATAGAGGAGAGCAGGAGGCGGGGTTACCAATCTACTCGCTCTGGAGAGCAGAGTTCGCTGCTTTTAGATGTTGTCTCCAAAGTCTCCAGTAGCAGAAAAAAGTCTCTAGATTTGGCGCTAGGAGCTTTTTAGAAATCAAAGTGCTAGAGGGGTCTGAAAAGTGGCTAAATATAGCGACTAAAGCGCTAAGTTGGCAACACTGCTCTTTGCATGGTTTGTTTTCAAATGGTTTGCTGCTGTCTGTTTGGACCTTTCTGAACATGTGCAGCAAATGGACTGATCCAATATGGTGGACACTGAAGGGGGGGGCTGAGACACACTTAATATTATCAGCGTTCTGATGCATTTTAGCCAAAGGATTTTTCTCAGAAACATAATTAATGTGCACAAATCAGGAATAGTTGTATTAATCATACATGTAAACGTAGTTTATGGGGACCCCAGGAACTTGGGGCCCTAGGCAACTCCCTAGTATTGCCTAATGGTAAATCCCCTCCTGAGTAGAACCGTCAGCTTCCATCAGATGTTTGGGGCTCAGAGGTTTAATGGGAGCATTTTGGATCCAAAGTGACGCCTGCAGGATCTCTGGCACCCTGAGGCCTTTAGGTCTGACCCGTTTGTGACTATTTCTGGTTTTGCCACAGCTGAAGTTAGCAGCGTAGACCGAGGCTCTTGGCTCGGACCGTTAAACCTGTAATTACTCGGCGGAGAACCCGGACTGTTTGTCTCAGTGGACTCACAGCTGTTTGGAAAGTTTTAAACCTTTTTATAAATCTGTAAACGGATGGACTGCACGTTTTTTTAATATTCTATCATAGATTTTCCTTATCAGAGGATTAAGGCTCTCCACTCTGGGCGGCTTGGCCAGGGGGAACCAATTAGCATCAGACCAGCGCAGCCAGAGCAGCAAAGACGCTTCAGCCGCTCGTCAGAACTGAACTTTTACAGGCATCAAAAATGAAGCAGAACGCGCATTTTTGCTTCTCCTCAATGTAGCATAAGGGATTTTCAGAGGTGTCCACATTAGCATGGTGCCTGACGGGTGGCGGTTCCAGAAAATGTTCGTAGGGATGGTCGTTCAGGGCCAGCGTGCGCTGAGGAGTGGCAACAAAAACATCTTATGGTCGATCGATGCTGATCAAAATAAAACAACAGGAAAATAAATAAGAGTTTCTGCTGATAACGCTATGAACATATTTATATATCAGTACCATTTAAATAAATGTATGTTTCTAAATAATGTTTCCATTAATTGGGTTTAGCTATGTTCTTTTTCTTTAGAGAAGACTCCTTGGTGACTGCAGAGATAAACTCTCCCCTAGAAAACCTAAAAATAATTATTAAAAGAGCAAATATTCTTTATTTGTAGTATTTTTTTGTCAGTTTATGGTTAAAAATCCAGCATTAAAATGTTAAAGTAGGAAATCACTGCTGCCACCATCAGGCTTAGTGGAGAACTGCTTGTTCCAGGGGGAACAGCTACCTGTTTGGGTGGCCACAGGGGTGGCCAATGATTGGTTAGGGGTGGCCATGCCCCCCCGCTAGAACTGCCCCTGCATAAAGCCACATTTCCATAGATTATAGGATTTTAGTTCAGTTTACGTTCACAAGACAATATTATTTTCACTGATTCATAGTGCATGGATGGGTGAAGCGGATGCATTGCCGCTTGAAGCCATTGTTAATGTCTTTGTTGACTTCCTTGATAGTTTGTTTTTATTAAAATTAGGGCTGAAACAGTCAGATGAATCATAATTAATCAATTATTGAAATGATTGTCAACTGATTTAGTAATCGATTAATTGTTAACTGGAGTATAGAGACTCTAAAACCTGCCTATAGCTAATAGAGCGACACACTTAGAGCAGGAATTATACCAAAACTGTAAAAAACAATATCAATATTTTGCATTTAAGATAAAAAAAATTATATAAATGGTTGTCTGACAATCTGTTTAATTTCTGTGAAAAGTATTTTTTTGAGGAACCTTTGGTTATATCGCAAAATAATCGACAGATTCATTCTATTCAATTTATTTCTATAGCGCCAATTCACAACACGTCATCTAGAGGCACTTTACAGATACAATTCAACCAGATCATACGATCTAAGGAAAACCAGCTGATTGCATCGACTCTATAAGGCAATCCCTCACACTAAGCATGCTTGTAGTGACAGTGGAGAGGAAAAACTCCCTTTGAACAGGAAGAAACCTCCAGCAGAACCAGGCTCAGTGTGAGCGGCCATCTGCTGAGGCCCACTGGGGTTCAAGGAGACAGAAGCAGACATAGAAAAAGAAGCATAGATACAAAAGGCAACTGTCAACCAGCTCCACAGGCGGCCCCGTCCAGGAAACACGATTTGCAAAAAAATTGTTGGTTGCAACCTTAGTTTAGATTCATCTTTAGCTTTATAAACTTCATATAGCCTCTTTTATCATTCTGCCAGTTTTTTATGCTGTAAATGGAGGAAAGCAAAACAATATCAGCTCCAGGAACATCAGCAGCACTTATTGGAGATCAGTTAGACTGATGTCAAAATAATCTGTTTTTGCATCGGCCTTAAAATAAATGGTATCAGTTGATCTCCAGTTAAACTCATCAGTTATCGAAATAGAAATGAACGGAACAGCAGCACAGAACCTACCGAAACTATTAGTTGATCAACTGTTTTAGGAGATGAAAGCCGCTGAGAGACAAAGGAAGGTGTCTAATTGTAAGCGGCGGCAGATTGGAGCGAGCCCAGGAAGCTGAATGAGCGTTAGGAACCTGCAGGAGGTTTCCCGCTGGATGACCTCACCGGGCTCAGCCGCCGTTTGCTGAGCTGTCCCGCTTGGACGCTCCCCAGCCGGTCGTCTCTAAGGGCAGCACGGATTGACGTTAAGCTGCTGGATGAGTCACGGCTTGTTTTTGCTCCCAGCTTTCAGACGCCGACCTGTCTCCGCTGCTGCCATTGGCTGGCTTACAGAGCGGGACGATGACCGCGGCGTGACATTGCAGAAAGTCAGGCCTGAATACTGAACTTCTCTGCAACTATAAAAACTCCCAGTGACCTCAGGAAGTGGATATGAACCCTGCTGCTGGTTCAGAGGTTGTTTTATTTTTGCTATGACCTTTGACCCCTAACATGTTAACTGAGGCCTGTAGATTCTGAGGTGGAGTTCCTCGTCTCTGCAGGATGATAAACTTCTGCTGGTTTGGACCCGATAACCTGCTGCTGATATTCGAAGGTTTTTGCTGATCTTCTGAATGTGTTGACAGCAGCAAACCGACCCAAACGGTCCCGGCTCTGTGGAGCCGGCAGAACCTTTAAACACGAGCCTGATGCTGAGCTACCGGCGGTTTCATCTGCTGGAAGCTGCTTCTGGGTCACATTGTTGCAAAAACAACAAAACTCCGAGGCGTGAAACAGGAAGTGAAAGCACAGCTGCAGAGCAGGACTTGTTCCTCCTGCTGCTGCTGAGCGAGCAGAGACGCTGGGGGAGGAGGAGGAGGAGGATCCCCTGGAGGTGCCGCAGCATGTTTCAGTGACGTCGTCGCCCAGGCGGTTCTGTGCTGCCGGGCCCTCCTGCTTCTCACCCCACCCCCCCCTCCCAGGCACCGCAGGCCTTACAGGAATTCCCCTCCTCGTCACATTATTGAGAGGAAGGCGCACGCTGCGCAGCCCCAGCTGATAGGCAGGAAACACACAGAGAGTCGATCCTGGGACCGAATCCAGAGGAAGAGGTGGACGTTCTGTCCTGCACACTCTGATCCTTTGGGTCGGTTCCTGTCGGAAAGATTCTTCTTCTGAGCTCGTTTTCTGCTCCGAGCCGTGGAGGAGATACCGAACAAAGACAGGAAGCAGTCAGAGCTGTCAGATAGGGACGGCTGATCCAGGCTGATCCGCCCGGTGCTGGACTTCAGCTGCCTGTAGAACCCCCCCTGGACTGTTCTGGTTCTGTAAGTCCTGCTTACTTCTGTTTTTTCTGCTTTCTGTGGTGAAGTCTGCCGGCTCTGCAGAGAGCTGTGGGTCTTTAAACCCGAGTAGATGTTGGTTCTGGGTGTGAGTTTCAGCCTGCAGAAGGACCGGGTGCAGGATCCGAACCCACTCCGGTGCCTCCGGCTCTTCGTTTGTCGTTGTTTTATTTGCACTTAAAGGAAAAGTAAAACTGACAGCTCGTTGTTTTTATGACTGAACTGGGGAGGCCATTTCCTTAAACGGGACCTTTACACTTCCTGCTGGTTGCTGGGCAACAGAAACAAAACACCCAGCCTAGCAGATAAAACCTAACCTCACTAAAGGTGAGTGTTTATATTGCAGCTGAATCTTCTGCTGGTCTGCTGCAATGTGCTCCTCTGTGTGGAGATGGGAACCAGTCAGACCTCTGTACTGTCCATCAGACCTCGGTACNTGCAGCTGAATCTTCTGCTGGTCTGCTGCAATGTGCTCCTCTGTGTGGAGATGGGAACCAGTCAGACCTCTGTACTGTCCATCAGACCTCGGTACCGTCCGTCAGACCTGGGTACTGTCAATCAGACCTCTGTATTGTCCATCAGACCTCGGTACCGTCCCTCAGACCTCGGTACCGTCCGTCAGACCTGGGTACCGTCAGTCAGACCTTGGTACCGTCCGTCAGACCTCTGTACCATCCGTCAGACCTCGGTACCAACCGTCAGACCTGGGTACCATCCGTCAGACCTCGGTACCGTCCAACAGACCTCGGTACCATCCGTCAGACCTCGGTACCGTCCATCAGACCTCGGTACTGTCAATCAGACCTCTGTATTATCCATCAGACCTCGGTACTGTCCGTCAGACCTCGGTACCATCCGTCAGACCTCGGTACCGTCCAACAGACCTCGGTACCATCCGTCAGACCTCGGTACCGTCCATCAGACCTCGGTACCAACCGTCAGACCTGGGTACTGTCAATCAGAGCTCTGTATTGTCCATCAGACCTTGGTACCGTCCGTCAGACCTGGGTACTGTCAATCAGACCTCTGTACCGTCCGTCAGACCTCAGTACCATCCATGAGACCTGGGTACCGTCCATCAGACCTGGGTACCGTCCATCAGACCTGGGTACCGTCCATCAGACCTGGGTACCGTCCATCAGACCTCAGTACCATCCATCAGACCTCAGTACCATCCATCAGACCTCGGTACCGTCCGTCAGTCCTCGGTACCGTACGTCAGAACTTGGTACCGTCCGTTACGTCAGAACTTGTTACCGTCCGTCAGTCCTCTGTACCATCCGTCATACCTCGGTACCATCCGTCAGACCGCGGTACCGTCCGTCATACGTCGGTACAGTCCGTCAGGCTTTGGTGCCGTCCGTCAGAACTCGGTACCGTACGTCAGGCTTTGGTACCATCCGTCAGACCTCGGTACCGTCCGTCATACCTCGGTACCGTACGTCAGGCTTTGGTACCATCCGTCAGACCTCGGTACCGTCCGTCATACCTCGGTACCGT